GTTCATGTATTTAGCATATGCATGTATGTACATGATGTACGTATATGTATGTAGTATGTGTGTTTGCCATTGTAAACAAAATTGCCTTTCTGGGATCAATAAAAGTTTTATTTATTTATCTATTTATTTGTTACCTGTGAATTTTTACGAAAATCATTAATTACATTTCATGATTATTATAACGATTTGGAGCATGCGCAAGAGGAATTAATATACTGCACGATAATGTCCCTACAACCAGTCAGTTGGGACGAATACGTTTTTGTAAAATTCTCGGTTGTCTACCATGTTCTTTTGACTTTGATCAACGTGGCTCAAACCTGGTAATGGCCTTTCATCCCGGAAGTAGAGTCTCCTACTATCTTTGCCTTTAGTTTAAGACAGTGATCACAAATAGATTGTGGCGTCGGTGGCCTAGTGGTTAGGCTACCAGACCCGTAATCGTGAGACTGAAAAAACGAATCCTGGCTATTGAAAAACTGGTGTAATCTTCATGATCCAATATTATTGCCAAAGGAAAGGCTAGTTATTACTATGAGGTTAGTGAAAGTGTCATGTCACTATTTTCCGTTTACAATGTTCTAAATCATTAAAGTCATATCACTTATCATCATCACCACCCCCTCCCACCCCCCCCTCTCCCTCTCTCTCTTTCCTTCTCTCTCTCTCATTTTTAACATTTAACGAAATTAATTCATGCTAGCATGATTGATACAGCTCGACCATGTGCAATGTGGGGCCGATGAGTGAAACACAAAGCAAGTAAAACATTTAAACGAGAAAAGCTAATGATTTATTAATGAATTACTAGCTTGTTTTTGTTTATAAAGCTAATTAAAACATTCTTGTCCGGGATCAAATTTTTGCATTACCAGCGACTGGCGGCGGGCAAGAATTGCCAAGACATTCCGGTAAAATTGCCTGCGCGGGTTGCTCACAACCAACCGCTGGTAACACGCGTTAAAGGGAGGGGGGGGGGGGGGAGCTACACCCCCAAAGTCAAAATTCGGCTCAAAATCATGGAATTTGAGTTGTAGGCAATTTTAGCTTTCTCAGCCTCAGGTTCGAAGGCTGACTTGTTTGACAATGTAATCAAAGTGAAATGGGACCAGATAGGGCCTGGAGAAATCACACTCACACAAGTCACAAGAATCTTACTGGCACTGGAGGCGGCAACTCGAGTTGTGAATGAAAGCAAATCCTGAATTCATGTTGTATGCTTGTTCAACCGCTAAAATAATCGGGAAAGTATTTCATTAAATATTTATTCTAACTAACCTTAAATTTAACTTTAGATTTGAACACACGAACACCAAGGAAAGAAGCACAGATGTCAGCACTACAATGGCATGTTATACCAGACAGCCGAAACACTTTGGTAGAGCACGCCAATTATTAATTTTATATTTCACATTTGGCTGTTTTTTGTCTAGCTTTTCGCGGCCTGGAGCCGCTGTCATAATCGAGGTCACGATCTGATTATAGGACGTTAAAAAGTCGAGGAAAAACCCCCAAGCATTAGCAGTGTAGTAGTTGCAGGAGTCAAAGGATTATTAGGAGTTAGTTCCCCTCACATCTGTGAGGTAGACTCGACCAGTGTAATAGTTCGCTTAGATAATCAGCGCGTCTGGGTGCTTATAACTGTCCCCGAAATGGGTGAACAGGGTATATGCGATAATGAAACAGTTCTGACTGCTATGCACATGTTCCCTTCAACACAATTGGTTGACTCTTCCTGCCTCACTTTAAGCTTACTTAATCAAAGCTTGTGACTGCTTATGGAGTGGCCCGATAGGGGCGAACAGGCTATTTCTGTGGCAATGAAACGGTTTTGAAGGTTAGGCATACTGTTCATTGGTGATTATGAACGTCTTTTTACATTTAATTTATCAGGTTTACGTCTATGGGTGAATTTGACTGCGACAATGTTTCAAAATTAGGAAAGGAAGCAGTGATTATTTGATTATATAGACGCTTCGCTTCTGCTCAGTCTCTCCTACAACTATTTCATTGCATAAGAACCCCCCAAAACCGTATTTTTTCCCCATACCGGGCATGTTCGTAACCGCTATTTCCTCATAAAGTCAGTATTTTATTTTTCTTTATCAGTCGTTTTCTCAAAACGCGACTTTTCTCTATACTTTTTTTAATAACTCCACCATTTTTCATCCAATCTTCATGAAATTGTCACAGAATGAAAAGAAGAAATAATACTAAAAATTTGTGTGTTGAATTTTTGATATATGGAATACATTTTTGTTGGTGGTGTCTGGAATGTGGATTTTCACGGATTTTTCGCAAACTTGAATGCTACCTCAGGAAAAAATTCATTAAAAATTTTCTAATTCGTTTAGGAAAAAAACAACAGATCAATTTTTAGATCTAATGTTTGTGAACACGCATGCCAAAAACTAATTAATGTCCATGAGCGATAAGTGCGGTATTCATTACGTAAGACATGTCAATCAAATCCAATATGGCGGCGTATCCATGGAAACGAAACTTTTTTCTCAAATTTGATTGCGGATTTTAAGACTCCTTACTATGCTTGTTATATGTGTGAAATTTGGTAAAATTCGGTACAGTAATAAGCGAGATAGCCTTCTGGTGTAACCCCCCCCCCCCCTTAACTTCGGACGGTCTTGAAATAAACAAAAGACACTTCTCAAAGCGGGCATCTGCAGGTTAACCTGTAGCAGAAAACCTGGCGCACTACGGCCGTAACTTACCTTGCAAATACTTGTGACGACATTCACCGGTGAAGGCAAGGGTGACTATAATAAGAAGGAGGGGAGGGGGAGGTGGAAGATAACATTACGACATCATGATTTGTTGGTTTCCTACTGGGCCAACAGCCTCGGATGTAACGTGCTTATTACGTAATGTCCTTGTTTGTCCGTCTCTGCACTGACCAATTGACCAATGAGCCCGTCTTTTAGACACTGTAGTTAGATGTCCTTTCACTAGCTCTGTGGCGCACCACAAGGATACCTGATACTGAATCTTGTCAAGTTGTTCGTAAAGGAAAAACCGACGGTAAGATGTTTACTCTTTGTTTTTGTACGAGATAGCCTTTTACTATACATCAAAAGTTTTGAAGTTATTTTGCACTGACAACAGAAAATATATATGTGTGTGTGTGCGCGCACTCGTGTGTGTGTGTGTGTGTGTGTGTGTGTGTGTGTGTGTGTGTGTGTGTGTGTGTGTGTGTGTGTGTGTGTTTGGGGGTGGATGGTGTGCTATTCAGATGGTGTGCTATTCAGACCCTGGAGTAAAAGAGACTGGCGTAGAACGACAAAAAAGACAGAACAGCAGTTCTTTTCTATTACTACTTGTGCGATTTGCGTTTATTTTCTCATATGAATATAATATATAAAAATAATGTATATATATATATATATATATATATATATATATATATATATATATATATATATATATATATATATATATATATATATAGTATGTATATTATTATATCTAATATATATATATGTATACACACACACATATATATATATATATAGATATTTTATATATATATATATATATATATATATATATATATATATATATATATATATATATATATATATATATATATGAGAATTGTAATATGTTCCTGATGTCAGTGTTCAGTTGCCTCCTCGCCCCTTCTTTTTTCCCCCTCTTTTTCCCTCTTTATTTTCCCTTTCTCATTTTCCCTGTTTTACTCCCATCTCTCCCTCAACTTTTCAAATTATGTCAGGGAGCATGAATCCTTTTGTTTTAATTGTAGGAAGACATAACTCAAGTATGTTCGTGTTTCTTGTTTTAAAACTCTCCACTAAGACATGAGCTCACAGTTTCGATACATGTATGCAGCCAAATGTGTCATTGGTGGAGTTGTTTCTGTTTTAAAGTGTACTTTTCGTTTTGCGAGTTCCTATACCCCTTCAAAAAACACGCACACACATATTCAAACATACATATCATACTCACACTTACAGACAACATCTCACACACACACACACACTAACACACACACACACACACACACACACACACACACACACACACACACACACACACACACACACACACACACACACACACACACACGCGCGCGCGCGCAAAGTCTCGGCGGTCACTTGCCATGTAGAAATAGGAAAACC